TTTCCCGGAGCAATATTCAAATGTATTGGCATGGGAATATGGGGAAAATAACCAAAAAGAGCAGTTCTAAGAGTTCTATCTTTGCTCAAGGAGCTGATCATTGTATGGACAAAACCAGTCTTTGAAGAGAAGCACAAAGCACTGAAGGTGTAAAGGGACTGGGGTACGGCCCAAGCAATGCAGACCCCGCTTACACCTTGAGGTGTGGCCATTCTTGGCCACGAGACATAGCCAAGACGAGATAGCCACTCGGAGATCAATATAGGAATTAATATGAATGTTCAGAAACAAGATGCTTAACAGAGATGGGGTGAGTGTATGTGTGTGTCTCCTTTTAGTCGTGTGTGTGTCTATAATTTTCCTCATTACAAATGGGTTCTCTGGTACTGCCACTCTTGTGCTATATTACCTTAGAAAATTCCTTCCTAAGGAAGTTCTTCCAGTTTCTGCCTTTTGATTTCTTTATTTACTAAATAAGGAACTAAATAGATCATGGGTCAGCAACCTATGGCCATGAACAACAATCTGGCCCACCACCTGTTTTTGGCAAGTTTTATTGGAACACAGTCACACCTGTGTATTGTCTACGGCTGTCAAATGACATTGACATTGTCAAATGACAATGGCAGAGTTGAGTAGTTGTGACAGGGCCCCTATGATCTGCAAAGCCTAAAATCTTTACTATCTGACCCCTTACAGAACACCTCACTAACCCTGAACTAGACTAACTACTAACCACTGATTTTGGCTTCTGATTCTGTAAAGTACAACGAAATAATACAAAAGCCTACTCTGTTTCTTGCCTGCTTTATTTATACATACCACCTTATTCTTAGAAAAATTTAAGCAGCTCACCAAACAGTAATGGAGCATATAACCACATACGTGTAAAGTGTGAGGAGGAGAGTAAGAAAATCAGGACAAAGGGAAAATGAGCCAAGAGACAAAGAGATGAAGTCAGGGGGATGTGAACGTGTAGAATGCAAATCCTGAGATGCTGTGTGTTTTCTGTGGGCCATGAACTTGGCTCATAGCAGCCACTACGAGGAGAGGGCCATGATCCCTTTCCCAACTTAAAGTGTTCACGGAAGGTCCACCAGGAAGACCACAACAATCCCTGGCACAAAGAACCACCTATCTCCTGAGTCTGTGCATAAAAGGGATAACATGAGGTGTAGTGAACAAAGCCCCAGCAACACCCAAACAGCTGGGGGGTATCTCCACAGCATTCACTGCTACACGGAACATTCTGCAGCGTGGGCCAGCTCCACATCCCAAAGTGGACTTTCCACCAATTCTTCCAGTATATTCCCAAATTTTGAAATAAGCATATACCCCCTTTTATAATCAGAAAATAATAAATATCTTCAATTTAAAAAAAAAAAAAAAAAAAAGGAAGCCGCAACCGTTGCCCGCCTGGTCCTCGCTTTGAAGCAGAACCCCTCAGCCATGCGCTCCAAGCAGAGACTCTGTGCAGTCTTGCTCTTTCCTGGACGCTCAGCCTGAGTGCCACAGCGGGAGACCTGAAGCCGAAGCTCCAGGTGGGAAGTTAAAGCCCTGCTGAATGGTGACTATCATTTATCCTTTTTCACACAGAGCTCTACAACTTTATATCTAGCTTATCAATATAAAGAGTTCACACCCGGCATCTCTGTCGCTCGTGGCTTTATGCCCAGGGCCCAGAATAGTGTGCCTGGTGCAGGTGAGAAATAAGCACTTACTACATGAACCATGGGCTCGTCTGAGAGATCCCAGACAGCAGGTGTGTCTACAGATGTACTGGGGTTGTCTTGGGGAATCCTCCCCAGCCTGGGCCTTACCCACAATGCCCAGCTCTGAGACTCTCACCTATGTCAACGAGACAGGTAAGAAAGGGGCCCAGGTGTGGAGGCCAAGCTCCTGAGCCATGTGTCAAAAAAAAAAAGAAAGAAAGAAAAAGAAAAAATTAAAAATTGAATAGGGAAACTCTGAACAGCTGGATGTCTAGTCTTGCTTCAGTCCCATTGTTGCAAGGATAAACATTTGGACAGCTCAAGACAAACACAGCTTTGGGTTCTGAACAGGCAGAGCTGCTTTCTCGTGCACACTGAGACTTCCATGTGTAATCTGCTCCCTCCTCAGAGCAAAGCCCTGCCTTCTCCTGAAGGAGACGCCTGTTCCGGAGGCACTGCCCGGAACTCCCAGACGCCTGCTCTCTGTGCAGCTGGGCCTGCTCTGCTCTGAGTGAGCCAGGGCGGCCTGGGCAGGATTTTCTCCAAGGAGACCTTCAGAGAGAAGCTGGCGTCATGGGAGGCTGAGGCAGATGGTGCTCCTCTGGGCAAATGTTAAGAGAATCAGGCCAAACCGCCTCAGGACCTAATTGGCTCAGACAGTAATGTCAAAATGTCACGGCCAAAGCGGCGGCTGACAGTGGCTTAGAAAAAGAAGAGGCATTATCTTCAACTGGGAAGTAATGATACAGAAAGAGCACTAGATGCGGAGTCCAGAGGCCTGCAGGTCCGAGCCTGGTGGTGTCACTTGAGGCTGCATATTCTTCAGCCAGGTGTTGCCCTTCCTAAGCCTTGGGTTCCCTCGACTGTAAGATAGACATGAATTCATTGATAAGACTGGCTCACTTGCTTCCTTGTTTGAACCCCTACAGCCCAACAGCAAAGTAGGCGATATGGAACAAATACAACATGGCCCTCGCCCTTCAGCCTGATCATAATGTATAGGGCCTCACACAGAGCCTGTCTCACAAGAGGCTCTCAAGAACGTTTCGTGAGCAGGAGTATCAAGACGGCTACTGGTGCACTTGGCCTGTAAGTTCTGCTTCCAAAGCACGTCCGCCCACCTGCCTGCACCAGGTGGGGCTCGTTCAGGCCTTGCTGCAGCGGCTTCGCTGGCGGCCTGTCCCCAGCACCGGAGCTCACGGTCCTCACTGACCCTAGCCCCTTGAGCTCCCACCTCCCCAGTCCACCCTCCACCTGTCCGTTTGTATTTCTCTCTGCACAACCTCCCATCGTGATGCCCCTCCCTCAAAATCTCCTTTCCCTACAAAATTCAGTCCAACTTCTTCAGCTGGGCATTTGAAGACCTGACAAGCTGTCTCCAGCCCACCTTCCCAGGCTTCTGTCCCCTTGGGTGGCTTTGTGTTCACGACCTGGGCCTCCCTCCGTGCCGTGCCCTTTCCCTGCCGCCCCTTGCCTCCCTCTGGGATGATCCCCTCTCCTCAGCGGACACTCATGATGCTAGCTCACAGTTCAAAGCTCAGCTCAAATTCTTTCTTATTGTTTATTATTTAGGTATTCTCCTCAGCTTCTGGCCCACTAAGTGGTCCCTTTCTTGTTCCCAAGCTTTTATCTTTGACATCTTCTCTGTCACCAAGCATGGGCTCAGTTCATCTTGAAATGGAAGTTTTAGCTCAAAGGCTCTCCTCTCTATGAACTGCCACGAAGGCTTGCTTGATGGTCTCTATGTCCCCACGCTCAGCACCCCCCACGCACACCCACACAATGCTTGTACTCATCATGCTTCTCCTCCAGACACTCCTTCAATAACTTTTGTCCATGGTGCAATGGAATTAGATCATTCCTTGTTTTCCATAGGGCTGGAAAAAATGCCTAGCCAAGTCATCCTCGGTAACTCTTGGCTGATGCTGATGAAGATAATTAAGGCTGTCTACAGTGGCCACGTGGAAGCGACAGGCATCACATTTGGGCAACCAAAGTGTCTGCTGATCCTCGTCCACCATCACTACCACAGGTACAGAATGCGCTGCCTGCATTTCTTCCCACATGAATGCCCAGACCCGGAATTCAACCTCCACAAGCTTCCTACACAGAATCCACTCTTACACAAGCACAAAAGAGCAATGGAGCCTTTACCGAAGACTCTGCAGGGAGGTGAGGATGGGGGTAACATGGCACAGCCTGCAGCAAGCCACCTTCACTTGCTCATTAGACGCTCCGTGCCGCCAGGTCTCTCCTGGTCCTACCGACCCGGGTCGTCTTGCTCCAGGCAGCAACTGGCCTCACTGGTTCCTCTCTCCTCCTCTCCCAAGTCCCAGCTTTAAATTTCTCCCTTTTCTATGTTGCCAGCAATTAACGTCAGCCACAGCTTCACATCCAGACTCTCCAAAAGGCTCAGCTCCTGAAAGCTCCCTCAGTTCATAGAACTTTGTCCTCCTGGAAGGCTGTTTGGCCACCACCTTTGTGACACGAGCATGACATTCAGTGTCTTCTCCCCTCCCTCAAGCAGTTTGTGAGATATTCATTGCAAACATAATATAGAGTTCTCCCCAAGAAGGATTCTGATGGGTGGAACTTTCACCACCTCCCTACACCTTTCGTCACCTCCTCACTGAGATTTTGCCAGGAAACATCAAGGTTTCCAATGTCCCTACCTGATCTTTGATTCACCCGACTGTCAGGACATTCCCATTCATTCTTTGAGCCAAATGAGTCTTGACCAAGCCCCAGCTTCAGGCCCAGGAAGGGCAGCTTCCAGAACTATAACAAGAAATCATTTGGAATACAGCATCCTTCTCAGGGGAACTCCTGTCCCAGAGCAGACCCAAGAGAGCCAAGAGAACTCTCTGGATCCTGGCATTTATCCTTTATGGGCTCTCTGCAGAATTCTGAGCACACATGTCTTTGACTCCCTTCTCCTCTCCAAGATTATCAAGCTGTGTACATGTGCGTCTGTGTGCATGCTCATGTATGTGTGCATGCCTGTGTGTGCATGCACGTGTATACCTAGGCTGCTGGCAGAGGAAATGCTCTACATCCTCCCCAACAGACCCTTTGCCCCAGATGCTGGCCCACTCTGCAGATACCCCTCAAACCACTGGCTCATGTACACAGAGAACCCGGCCTCTACTCCATGACCCGCTGTTCACCCCCCACTTCCCAATAGCCAGAGGCCTGGAGAAGCCCCGGGAAACATGGAGTCCCTCTAAGCAGAGGCATCATGGACCAGACAGCAGGCCTCCCCGAGGAGGAGGGAGTTGGGGGACTCACCAGGACTCTGCCAGTCAGTGTCTGGGCAGATATCATCACCCCCGCCCAGTCCTTCACGGAGGTCATCCAGCCGACCTCGGCTGCCGTTGCCTCCTCTTTTTCGTCCACTGGCTTGAGAGTGCCATCCGCCTGGCTTGAGCCATTGTTAATCTTCTGCGCCTCCTGGCAACAGAGAGAACAGGGTTGAGAATAGGAACCAACTGAACTCATTAAACACAACCTACCCAAAAGAATCAAAGTTGGAAGGGTCCTGGCTGATGGGGGAACTGGCTTGAAGGTACAAGGGGCAGGGAGATGGGATGCATGATGGCTTTGATTTTCTTTTAAATCTTTTTTTTTTTAAGAATTTTTTCTTTATTTTCTCTTAAAATATCTGTGCAAGAAAGAATGAAATTATTCTCTTTCCACTTTAAAGGGGGAAAAAAATTACTAAACTCAGGAGAGAAAGCATCTTGTCTAGGGTCATGGAATAACTACAAAGGAGATGAGGTTGGCATGCTGTGGTCTCCACCTGCCCAGCCTTCCTATCCTGCTCGTAAGAGCGCCCCATCTTTCTTAAGAAAATCCCCATCTCCTCATCACCACCTGTGTAGTTCAAAAGGAACTGAAGGCCCACAATGGCTCCAGGAATAGAGACTGATTAATTGGACCATCCCATCCCTTAAGCAAGAGCAACTGGGCCAGTGATGGTTACATGACCCATGCCAACCCAATACACCTCAAGCCTGGGACTTTTGCTGGAAAGAGTAGGAAAGGTAATCCTTCCCTGAGAATGAAGCTACCACAGAGGAAACTAGGAGAAGTGACAGAATACTGATGTCATTTGAACACCTGAATCCAGCTGTGCCTGAAATCCACACCAGAGCTTTTTAATTACAAAAGAGAATAAAATTCCCCTTCATGGCTAAAAACACGCTTGAAGAAACAAGGTTGACTTCTTTAGATAAATGAGGCCAACTTGGGGCCCTAAATTGCATGCTTTTGTATGCATTCTTTTCTCCCACAGGGGGTCAAAGCTCTCCCCCCCCCACCACCACCTCCCTCAAGTCTTTGCTCAATGAAATCTTCTCTGGCTACCCTTTTAAAATTCCAGTTCTGCCTTCCAACAGCACCACTGTTTCTCTTTTATTTTTCATTCATAGTCTGCCTCCCCCTACCAACTCCAGCATCCTGAGGGCCTAAAAGAGTGACTTGCATATAGGTGGCTCAATAAACATGAACGAATAAATAAAAAGGGTTATGAGTATCAGCCCCTCACTGGGCCTAGGATTGCCAAACAAAATACGGGACACCCAGAGAAAACTGAGTTTCAGATAAACAACAAATTTTTTACATGACACATAGCTATACTAAAAATATATTCATTATATAAAATTTAAATTTAACTGGGCCCCCTACTCAAATATCCACTGAGATTATTTTTGCAAGTATAGATGTAGAAAAAGATGCCGGCAAATTATGTTCAGGATTTAAAAGCTTAGAATTAAGTTTCAAAGCAAACAGACACTGGGGATCACTGTGAGTTGGAGCAAGGGAGAGAAACCAAGGCAGAGGTGAAAACCTTCCTCTGCAGTGAGTGGGGGTAGGGCAGAGTGAGGAAAGGACAGACCTGTACCCCTGAAACAAATAGTACTTTATATGTTAATAAAAATATACCCCCCAAAAAGAAAGAAAACAGAGATGAGATGCATGGGATGAGTCATCCTCTTGGGGATTTGCAGGCAGGCAGGAAGCTGCTCCTGACACGGGGTTCTCCCCTTCTGGCCTCCATGGGTTCAAGGGAAGCTGGGAAGCCAGAAGGTGCATCAGGAGAACTGGGTGCTCATGCTGTCTCTCCCAAGTGTATGAGGCCCCAGGGAGCTAGAATAGTCTAAGAGGAGGCCTGTGGTGGGGGAGCCCCAGGGTGGGCACACTCGGGGGCCACCTACTGACACTGTGGAGCCTGCTACCCAAGCAACCTAAAGCCAGTCTCAGTGGCCTGTTAGGACCCTGAGTCTTCACCATGTAGGGATTCTGCATAGCTGGGTGTCCTGAAAATCACAATAGCCCTGATCCAGAGCCCCTCACTATAAACCTCAGGAACTGCAGGTGTAGATTCAGCTCTCATGCCCCATGGGACACCCCCCCCATAAGATGGGGACAATATGGCCTGCCGCATAGATGTTGACAGGACTAACCAGTGCCCAAAGGCATACAACACACTTTCAGTTCATTAGTCCCACCACCTCCTGCCTCTCCTTGAGCCACTGGCCCTCGAAAACAGTGATTCTCAAGTTCAAGTGGGCATCAGGACCACGTGGAGGCCTTGTTAAAACAGAGTGCTGGGTCCCATGCCAGAACCTGCATTTCTACCAAGTTCCCAGAGAATACTGATGCTTCCCATCCGGGAACCCCACTTTGAGAACCCCTGTCCCTAAATCATGCTGACATGGCTTAATCATCCCTGCCCTGATCTAAAATGGGACGTGGATCTGAACTCCCAGCTCTTTCCCAGCGTTTCCCTTCACCCAGGACAGAACCACCCGCTTCTTTCAGAACCAGGGGCTGGGGGTGGACAAGGGCGAGGTTGGGGCAGGGCAAAGCCCTCAAATCAGAGGCTTTTGTGTCTCCTTCCGAGCAGTGCCCCCCCAGCGACGTGTCAGAGCTGGTCCATGGCCACAGGCTGCCCTCAGCCCTGGAGGCTCAGGCTCCACAGCCACCTGGCAGACCAGCAGACCTTGGAGGAGAGAAGCCGCATGGAACGGGCCAGGAGCCAGTGAGTCCGCCCCAGTCACGGTGCTTTCAATGCATCAATAATTCAGAGCACAAGAGGTATATTGCAGATAATGCCCTTTTGCCAGCCCTCTTAACTACTGTTTTACAAGGCATTCATTATTTTAATTACTTTATGATAGGCAAGGAAAAACACAGACTAAAGAAAGATAATGCCCGTGTTCTTATTTGCTGACACTAGATGCTGTGGCCTTAATTACCACATGTGGGAGGCAGGCCTGGGGGAGCAGGACAGCAAGGAGGCCGGAGCTCTGCAGAGCGTGCTGCCAGCTGGCCAGGGCAGCCACCTTTGGCCTGCGGGAAAGCCCCCCTCCACTCTGACCTCACTCCGGCCAAAGCATCCCTCGCTGGCAGCAAGTACAGCCCCACGCTCTGGAGAAAAGAGGGCAGAGGCCCAGGGAGGTTGCGTCCTTGCAGAGACACACAGCAGGGAAGGAATGGTAAGGACAGTATAATAGTGACTGGCCACCATTTCTCAAGCCAGAACTAAAAATTAAGTGCTTTCCACGTATGACCTTACTCAGAGCTTATGATAATCCAACAGGCAAGTGGAGTTATCCCCATTTCACAAACAGGGTAACTGAGAACAGGTATTTCTCAGAAGAAGGCACAGAGCTTGAGAGGGCTGGAGGCAGACAGCCCACCAGAGCTTGGTCAGCTCTGCCACTGACAAGCTCATGAGCCTCACCTCCTCCATATAAATGGGGACCGGCATGCTGACCCCATCAAGATGGTGGCGAAGCTTACGTCAGATCAACGATGTACAGCATTTGGCCTGGGACTAGGCAGCTATAGTTGCCAAGACAGAGTCCCCGTTGCTGGGACTGGTTGCCTCCAAGGATAGTCAGTTAAAACTGCACCACCACATTGATCGGTGGCCCTGAGAGAGACGCTGACGACCCTAGGCGGGACACTGACCCAGAGAGAAACCTTAATAAATAATTACAGAACGGAGGAAAAGCGAGTATAGGTTCTAACAGCTATGACTTTTCAACGAGGCAATGGGCCGCTGGGAGGGAAGGCACCATGACTTCTGGAGGGGCTCCAGCAGGAGCTGCGGGGCACCCCCCAGGACAGTGGGGCAGGGATTCCTACACAGAGTGGACCCTGGACCAAGTGGCCTCTTAGATCCCTTCTGATTCTGAACTCCATCCGATCAGCCTCCCATTAGAGATGAGGAGACTGAGGGCCCGAGGGAAACTGCCTCCTGGGTCCCAGGACACTGCTCTCTCTCCTATGCCCCCAGGACCTTCCTGGGGGGAGGGGCGGGGGACAGTGGGGACTGGTGCTTTGTTCTGAACCCGGAAAGTGGGCATCCATCAAAACTTCCACTTCCCAGTGCAGAGAAGGACTCAGCTACCCTTCCGGGAGGACTCCTGAGCCGGGTCAGGCAGGCTCCCTGGTATCAAGAGAGACCTGGCCCTGATCCCCACTCATCCTCCAGGGAGACCACTGTGTGCATGTCCCCCTGTGCGTGTGAGTGTGTGAGTGAGAAAGAGAGAGAGACCCCACAAGCTATAGGCTCAAGCTACCCCAGCCTCAGACAGGACACCAGAGATTTTCTGAAACGTAGACAAGGATGCCTTGGGGAGAAGAGAGGAATGTGGAGGAAGAAGGAGCAGGAAAGAACGAAACAGGGTAGGGCCTGGGGGGTGTGTCCTGGAAGATGCAGATCTGGCTACAGCCACCCCCTTGACAAAGGGGCTCAGTCTTACTTCGGAGGCCCCTCTTCCCTCCAGCCCTGCCCTCTCTCCCCACCAGAGTCTTCCGTAAAACAAGCCACAGCTGCCTCCTGCAGACAGCACGGGACATCTAATGTCAGTGCCCAGATGGCAGGCGGAGGGGGAGCTGCAGGGCGAGGGTGCGGGTCCAGGGGTCTGAGGGCACAGTGGACCAGTCCCCTCCTGCTGCCTGCTCATTCAGGCACTCTCCCACCGGCCTCACCCCTACGGTGCCTTCTCCCTATTCCTTCGAGCAGCATTCCCCTCGGTGACTTCCAATTGGCCCTCCTCTGCCATCTGTGGCCCAGGGCCTGACCAGACCACGCCCACCTGGTGCTCACTACACAGAGCACACATCGGTTGGATGCTCAGGGATTTCTCCTGAATCATAAGATCAAACACCAAAGCGTCAGAAGGGACCTCAGTAATCCCTTCGGATGCCAACCCTCCTCATTATACACATAAGAACACCGCGGGCTGGAGGGAAGCCACATGCCCAGTGCCCCCCAGCCCAGGCAGGAGTGACCCCCCCAGCTCTTGCTCTTATCCTTGCTACCTCCTGGGCAAGATGATGCATCCCCTCAAATGCAGCCCAAAGGAACCAGCCACTCCCAAGCACATCCCTCTGCTGCATCAGCCTGCAGCCTGGAGTCTGGGTGTTCCTGGGAC